GAGGAAGGTGTCTGGAAGTGAACGCAGGACTGCCATAAAAAGGATACAGGGTCCCAGGGTCAGCCTACCACCTCGCTCTGCCATTACCAGCTGTATGACTGGGTCAGCCATTCATCCTCTCTGGGCCAATGTTCTCTTTCATAAACAAAGGGATAACATGTCTCCTTCACAGAGTTGTGAGGAGGCTAAAATAAGAAAATATATGTGAGAGCTCCTGCTTCATACTAGGCACTCAATAAATGTTGACAAATGAAAAGGCATCTCATGTCACAAGCTATGGGGCCCTGGGGTAAAGACAGGGACGGCTGGGACCAACACCGACCTCCAAAGCAATGGAAAGAGGGTCTTTCCCCTCCAGCTCTAGGCTTGAGCAACCAGCCTGGGTGGTCAGCAATACCTGCTCTTCGGCCTGACCACTGTCCTTCTGTGGGGTGCAGGGACTCCGGTCAAGTGTGAGGCTGCAAGAGGAAATGGCAAAAAACCACCCATATTCTCCGGTTCTGTGACGGACTGGGGAACCTGCATTGAGAAGCTGAGACTCAGTCTTGCGTTTTACCTTCATCCCCGGGTCCCTGCTTTCTGCTGCTGGGCTGTCCATGGAACTGTTTCTTTTACCCAGTGGCTTTTACTTTCCAGACCCTCTACAAGAGAAAGGGTTAAGGAAGTAAAAGAAACTCAAATCAGGCAGTTTGCTAATGCCAGTAACTCTGAACAGAGATAGGTAAATGGAAAACTACTGACTGTAATAATAGTTTACATCTCTCCACATTTCCCTTAGAAAATGCGAAGTTGGGCAGGCACCTGTTCCAAGGGCTGAATGCCGGGGGCCACGATGACTCACAGGAAGGGAGAGGTATCATTCTTGGTGTACACTGTAAACAACTAATATGAAGCTGCTTTGGCCATGCCTAGGAATGACTGGGTATCGAGACTTAACTGAAGAAGGGAAGGAGGAAGACAATGTGCATCTGCCCTGGGATGCCTGAACTACAATCCTAGAGGCAGGGTAGGCAAGGAGCAGGGGGGCTGCATCAAATGCTTGGCCTTTAATTCAATTCAGATGAACGGTTCGTGGCCCCTGGAGCCAATCTCCAGGAAGGCTTCTGTGATGACAAGTCTGGCTCCATGCTCAAGTGCCTTCAGCTCTGCCCACCAAAGTTAGCAACTTGTAAAATGTTCGTCATTTCCTAATTTTGTATTATAAAATGGAATTAGGAACATAAATAGTAACAAGTAGCAAAACCCCAACCCTGTGTAGGACTAGCATCCTCTCAGCCACCTCTGCGCAGGCCAATAAGTTTGGAAAGTTTTTCACAGTTTTCAAGTTTCAGCGACTCTGCCTTCTGTTTCAGTCGTTCATCTCTGTATAATCCTGCCAAATTTGTCAATTCCGACTCTGAAAGATAAAAGAGGTAACCAATTCATCAAGAGAGTTGAGCTCCTTTGTTTTGTTTCAATATTTCTGGAATCAAAGCTCCTTTTACTTTCATGCTTTTTCTTTTAATTATATTTAAGAAACGCTTACTCATTTATTCGAGAAACGCGAATCCGGCAGCTACGCTACACCAGGTGCCGAGGATTAAAGGCCACCTGTGGTCCCGGAGTCCTACAGTATCCATGCTCTATTATAAAAGCACTGGGCTTAGTTCTTATCAATAGAACATTTGGCACCAGTCTTAGGAAACGTGCACGTGTGCAGTAAGAGGAGACTCCGTTTCACGGCCTTCGTACGGATGGCTTTCAGATGGCAGTTGGGAGAGAGTGGAGCCCAATCGCCTGTTCCTGTCATCTGAAACAAAGACAGCTGCTCCATTCTGTCCCCTGCGTTGCTGGATCATAACTCAGACATGCTAACTGACACAGAGCCTCCCTCCGGTGGGCATGCCTTCTATAGAAGGCCAGGCTGCTGGCCGCTTTCTTCATTCCCTCACCACATGTGGGGTCCCTAACTCAAAGGCCAAAGGCAGCTGGGCTCTTTGAAAAGTGAAATCATCTGGATCCGGTGACCTTTGTCTCCTTGACTAAATGAATTTCATTTTCTCTTCATGGTGGAGAAGGTCATTCTATTTTTAACCAGAATATAATCTCTGCTGTCTTTGCCGATGCAACGGCGGTTTGGCTGCCTCTAGTTTTCATTCTTTTGTCAAGTTTCAGAGACATTCTTAGGAAGGAAAGCCTGAAAAGCACCCCCCAGAGACGTGTTGTGTATTAACAGGATGGCACGCTTGGATGGGCCGTGTGGCTTCTGAAAGCCTCCAACAGCAGGCAGCTCCTCGGTGTTTAAAGGACCATACTTGTGAAAATGCTATTTTAATCATTTTGAAATATGTCTATCCATTCTTAATCATCCTGCCAACAGATTTTGTTTTTCTTGCTGGAACGAGAGGCACCTGTCTGATTAATCAGCAAACTGACTGGAAACAGGAATTAATACTTAGCCAGGGGGAACAATGGGCATTGGTTTCTGAATAAGTTTCTATCAACACAAAACGCTGTCTGGCATTTCTGCTCACAATGATTCTATTTACACCAAGTAAGGCCCAAAGTGCAGATTAAGTGCAGGACTCCAGGGTGAGGGGTGGCCATGCATGAAAACCCTCCCTCTACAATGGAGGCTCAGAGCCCGGGCCCTAGCCCAGCAGTGGCTTGGCAAGCGGCGTGGCTCCTGGGCCCCAGAACAATGTGCTCTCACCCGCTTATGCGGGTGCCCACGCTGCCTGCTTGCCGGGGCTTTGCCTTGGCACCGTCATCCTTGCAGGCGATGCGGCTTCCTGGAGGACCGGGTGCCACACCCAAATGAAAGCCCCCCCCCCCCCCGTCCGCCCCGGGGCGTGCCCACCGCACCAACTCCATTTCCCTGGCTTCTCTGGCGTGTGGGAAACCTGTTCAGGAGGCCTCTATGCCTTTGGTCCTCTGGAGTCACTGTTATGCCCGCATATGGAACAGATTCTGTGGCTTTGCTTTTCCTTCAACGATTTCCTTAGGTTTTTTTGTTTGCTGAGCTTATCTCAATGCCTCATTGCCTGACATCTCATTCTAGAAAGAATTAAGGGCTAGTGATTCTTACTGTTTTCTACATTGAAGTCCACTCTAACAAGCTGATGAAGGATTAGATGGATGCTTTTCTCAAAATGTCACTAGCTTTACATAAAGTTCATTAAAACCAAGTTTCCATGCTCCAGGGGTTGAGACCCCTGCTCCAGATCAATGACTTTGCAACAGTGCCAGTGTTTCAAGGAACCACGTCCCAAATGCCCACCACCATGCTTGGAGAAACTTCTCTCCAGACTGCCAGTGAATGCTTTTGCCCTTCCATGAGTAAAAGGTCAGCTCAATTAATATGTTACTTTTGATACATTTTGACTGTTAATACTCAGTGACTTCTAAGTAAAAAAAAGAGAAAAAATCCTTGGAAGGGGCATCAAGACAACAGCTTTTTTTTTTTTTCTTCTTTACCAAATGTTTCCCTTGCCCCTTGTGATAAATGGACAGAGCATTGAGCCTTCCAGGCAAACAGACTCAGGCAAATTGCTAAAGAAACAAGTCCCAAAGCCCCTCCAAAGAACCCTCTGCACTCTTGTGGTCTGGAAGACCGCAGAGGATCCCAGCCACCCTCGGGATCCAGCTCCATGAGACAGAACTACATCCAGTCTAGCCAGGTCACGCAAGGCCTGGACTCCAGCAGGAACCAAGCGCTTACTATATGCCAGACACCAGGCTAAGCATTATACCCATACCCTCTTCTATAGCCCGTATGGCGTCTCTAGGAGGAAGTGCGTCTTATCCCCGTTTCAAAGCCTGAGCTTCTACCCACGGTGCTGCCCTGGTCCAAGGCATGGAAAAAGTGCTCCTCGGCCGGGCAGGGCCAGGATCTCAGCTCAGCTCTGCCAGGCTGGGCGGCAGATCCTGCCTGTTACTTTTGTCCATCCCAGCCCGGTGGCCACTTCCCCTGGCATTGGGTTGATTATCTAGATGCAGCTGTGGAGGAGTAAACAGGGCAATCAGTGTTCATAGTAGGGGATTACTCACAGAAGTTCACTCAGATTAAGCATTCTAAGGGAAAACAGAGAAGAGAAATGAACAAAAGATTAAAAAAGACAATGGCTAACTTTGCTAAAAACAGTTTCCATTCGGTATTTTGCCAAGAGTGAACTTTGTTCTCAAGTGGGTTTATTTTTACAACCTCCAAGTGCTAAATTTAACCTTGGCGGCACTTGCTGCTGGATCTGGAGGGCACATGCTGCTCATTCTCAAATGGCATTTGGGTTGTGGAGAGAGTCTGGACAACCACCCTTAAATGCCAGAAATAGATTTTTAAGGGGTGTGTGCGGATAACCCCCTCTTTGGAACTTGTGGGTACATGCATCATGCTTACCCATTGGATTTTTATTTATACCTAGAGAGTACCAAAGTCCTGAAACTAGGCCTCATGAATATGGGGAGAAGCCTAAAAGCCATTTTAGATGTAATCTTTACCGTGAGCTCTTTGCATAGTTCCAGCTAGGGAGTGTATGTGGGTGTGTGTGTGTTTGAAGAATGTGAAATGCAGATTTTCATCCAGTTCTTGCAGAAAGCAACAAATTCAAAACCCTCCCAGGGTTGAATACAATGGGGACTTTTAGGACACACACTGTGGCCTTCACCTGATTTAGATCTGTGTATAAAATGCCTTTCTGTCCAAAGCCTTTTCTTGCTCCAAAATTCTTTCCTGATCTTTGAAACTCGCAACAACTAGTTTAACATGAAGTAGGGTACTTCCTGACCTCCTCAGTTTTTTTCAGCATTTATTTTTCAATAAATTTTAAAAAGCAACTTCCTCCTGCTTAATTTCCCCTTACGTCTCAGAATCATTGCCCATCAAGCTCCTAATGCACCTGAGAGTGGAGGTGGGCTCTGCCCTACAGAAGTAGAGGGCAGAGACAAGGTCCCTAGGGGCTAGGGTAAGGATGCTAACCCTGCTCTGTGATTTTTAATCCGCACACATTTTCATTATTTTCCAGGCCTGAGAATCCTCTCTTCCAAGGACATTTGTTGAGCACCTGTTCCGGAGCAAGGACGGTGCGAGGGGCCTGGGACACAAGATTGGTAAGACATGGCTGTTACCGTCAGAGGCCCACAGTCTGGCAGGGAGACTGACACGTACCTACAGCGCATGAATGCTGAGAGCAGTACTGTGTTAGCAGCACGGACCAGGTGTTTTAAGAACACATAGGAAGGACAGATTAACGTGGGGGTGGGGTTGGGCTGCATGATGGGTCAGCAAGGGCTTAGCAGCACTGTGACTGAAGAGCTAATCTTATCAGGCACTGGTAGACATTTAATGATATCCAGTTACACCATTTAAAAAATGAGTTCGTTTGCTTTTTAAAAATTAAAGCCACATTTTATAAGATACAGTTAAGGTTGTGTGTATGTGCCCCCCCGCCCCCCGCACAGGTGTGCATACGTGTGTGTATGTGTAGAATTCAACTGGGATGAAAAGTGAACCTGCTGGCTGAGAGGCAGGGCTACCCTTGCTACCAGCACTCCCCATTAATACTCAACTGGAGTTGTAAGCCAACGGGTGGATACTGACACCCCCATTGTCTCCAGAGAGGGAACAGAGTGGAAGGCCTGCTCAAACCCACCCTTATTGAAGGGGCAGACCCAGAGGTAGGGTCACTTTTGATCTAGGTGGCCCCAGCCAGCTAGCACTGACTTTTGGTCTGGCTCAAAAAATTAGGCTGGATCAATCAGATTTTCCCATAGGGAATGTGGAATTATGAAACTGGACCAATCCAGCTAGAAAGGGGCCAATAACTAGTGGGGTTGTGGGAGCTGGGAGAGCGATGGGGAGGGTAGCAACCAAAACCAACCAGGGCAAAACCAGGTTATGAAGGAGGAAAGCTTGAAGAAGCAAAGGAAGGCAATTGGCAGAGAGGAGAGTGGGGCAGATGGGCAGAGAGAAGCAGACACTCAGAGACAGACAGATGGATAGGCAACTAATGCTGCCTGCCTGAGTTCCTCAGGTTTCCAAATTCTGGCCACATGTATCCTGACGATGAACTTCACTTTTTTGGTGGTGTCCCAAATGGGTCTCTGTCCTGTCTCTGATCACATAAACACGTGCTACTCAAACAAGGAGAGAGGAGGGATTGGGAAGCTGGGCATGCCTCAGGTTGGAAGCATGACCACCAGTTAAAGTCCCTTTTTAGAACATCTTACTTTGTTGTTTCTCCTTCCAACAGCTTGTCTGGACGTAATCAATGTAATCCTTCTCTATCGTCTTCTCCAGGTCACGGAGAGATGCTCCTCTGTAGGCCTTCTCAAAGTTTTTATCCACAAAGTAAGGCACCTGCAGGTTCTGCGTTTCTCTAGAGATGGTGTAGCCCAAGGTCCTGGGACAAGGAGAGGGAGGCTCAGGTAAGCTGGTTATATTTGACAATCTCACTCTTAGCACTGACTGCACAGATATCATGACCATAATCCCCTCTTCATAGGGCAGATGCAAGTACCACTGTCTAATACTCCTAACATTTATTATTTCTGTAGCAACTGTAATGTCATCATTATGTGAGTGTATTCATATTGTGAATTCAGCCTCAGTATAGTTACTTTATTCTCTTCAAGGATTTACCTCTCTTATATTGCTTTCTGTGCTAAAAGTTGAGTGCTGAATGCTTTTTTTAGTATACGTGCTGCCGAAGTGAGCACGAGTGCTGAATGCTTAAAAAAATGTTGTACATTGTGTAGGACCTAGCATAGTACCTGGCACAGACCAGGCTATTGGTAAACGTTGAGCAAATGAACTGATCATTACAGTCACAAATAACCAGATAGCTTACACCAACCTAGCATCAATTTTTAAGACAGGAGAGAAAGTACTTCACACACAGCTGCTAAGTGAGAACTGCAAAAACCTCAGACAAAAGATTTCAGTGATGCTTCTGCACCACCTCTCTGTGGGTCTAATATTTCCAATGGTATGTGGTGCTCAGAAACATCAGTAGGTCTGGGTTAACTAAATACTAACCAAAAGGAAGTATAGAAAGAAGCTCAAATTCAAGTTAAAACAATGTGACAGCAATGTGCAAAATCCAGGCTAGTTTTATTCAAACTAGACAAATTCCATCTCAACTGTAGTTAATATTTTCCCAGCTTTCCCCTTTGATCTCTCTACTTAAGCATCGTGCTGGATGTCTAAGGGTTCAGGCCATGACTGCTCCCACCTCCATCTGGGAAGGTGTTAGCAGGGCTGGTTCCTCTCTGCCCCACTAGCTGGGCAAAAAAGGAGGGAGAAGTAGCAAATGGAGAAACACAGGAAGTCGGGAAATAGAGGGAATCAGGCCAGAGTGACCTGATAGTAAAAACCCCTCTCTGAGACTGAGCTTCCTTCTCTGTAAAATGAAGATACTGATCTAGAATACAGTCTTCAGTCTACAGTGATTGCTAGCAAAGACTCTTCCTGTTATGTACTGCCCCATGGGTTCCACATTTTCTAAGGTTTTTTTTATTTTTTTAAAGATTTTATTTTTAAGTAACCTCTACACCCAATGTGGGGCTTGAACTCAGAACCCCGAGATTAAGAGCTGCATGCTCTACGGACTGAGCCAGCCAGGTCCCCCATTTTGTAAGGTTTTTGTCTGCTAAACCATAATGAGTAATGACTCATTTCTCATCTAACTTAAAATAATTAATCCAGTGGGATGCCTGGGTGGCTCAGTTGTTTAAGTGTTGGACTCCTGATTTCAGCTCACGTCTGGATCTCAGGGTGGTGAGTTCAAGCCCCATGTTGGGCTCCATGCTGGGTGTGGAGCCTACTTAAAAAAAAAAAATTAATCCAATGATCCTCAGACTATGAACCAGAGTTATTTGGAGAGCTTATTAAAACTCAGATCGCTAGTTCTCATCCTCAGAGTTTCTGATTCAATATGTATGGTGTGAGGCTTAAGAATTTGCATTTCTAACATGTTGCCAGTTGCTCTAGATGATGCTGGTCTGGGGACCGAACTATGAAAACTGAACTAATTGAAATAATTAATTGAAGAAATAAAGAAATTCCTATCATAGCTCATAGCAAAGAAATGTGATACTATGGTTTGACTGTGCAGCCTCATCATGAATAAATGTCCCATTCTTCCAATTACTTAAATTGAAAGTAATCACTGGATCTCAGATACTATGTTCCCAACCCGGAGGAGTCCAGTGATCCGATCACAAGCTCAACAGGGTCCATTCTAAAGCTAACAGGATGATAAGGATTTAATCTGAAACTGGTTAGCCTATTCATCCTTCAGAAACCAGTTGCTGCTGTTCTGTGGCTGACCGGATGATGTCGCTGTGGAGCAAAATAATCCGTGGCCCGAGCACACAGGAACCGCCTACAGTAATTTTGAGTCTCTGCACTATATTACTATCCTGCTGTTCCTTTAAACAAAAAAAATCCGTGTTTTCTACAAAGGCGAAATGAAATGTTAGCAGTACCAGCAAAATGTTCAAGTCTTTTACCCTCCAAATTGTTAAGAAAGATTTATAAATATTTGACTTACGATTTATAGAATAGACTGTATGGGGGATTAGCTGCTAGCAGCTGAGTAATGACAGATATAATCACAATCACAAGAACTGGAAGTAACTGAATAAATGCAGAATACGTGGTCTGAAAAAGAAAAAATATTTGGCGTAAGTGTTCTTCATCAATATAACGCTTACAGAAAACAGGATAGTTTTCCCAAAGAAAATTCAAATTACTGCAATATATTGCACAAAGCCCAAAGCTTTCCTAGGAAGACTGTTCTCTCTGCGGAGAAGACTGAAGGAGACCCACCCACAACCTGTATTGACAACACCCAGTAATTCTCATGCAGCCCCCTTTTCTAAGACCAATGAAGCAGACACTTCTGGGTGAGTCTGCCCAGACTGTGACTCCCATGGGGCCACGTTAGTGTTATGCAGCTCTGTCGCCTTGGCCACAGCTGAATGGACTGGGAGACATCTAACCCTAGCAGGGGTAATCACTTCTCCCTCCCAGGAGTTTGGAACTGAGACTCATCATACTGTTCACTGCTGGGCAGTCACTTGAAGAAAGGACATGTACTCTTAGGCAGTGTGGATGGGCTATCTGTAAGAGGAAGCAGAACAAGCTAGGCTGCTTAGAGAGAATAAAGCAGATGCAGAGAGGCAGGAAAGGTGGAGACAATCTGGCCACAAAGAGTCATGGAAAGATAGCTGCATGGGTGCCTGACTGTACCTTAGTTTCTGGTTCCCATCTGTCCTGAGGCCCATGTGCGCTTCCTGCCCTTGAGCTTCATGAGACCCCCTAGATCCCTTACTTTAAACTCCCTTTAGTTCTGAATATTTTGAAGGGGGTTCCTATTTTCTGCAGGGAAGAAAACCTCGGTCAAGACAGCCCCACAGGGGAACTGATTTCCTGGAACAACCACCGAAGAACGGGTGGGGAAGGAGGTACCATTCTGGCCTATTTGGGCCAGTGGTCCACCCCTTCCTACCACTACCTCTGCTTTCCTAAAACACCTTTTAACAACATGACTCAAGTTGAACTTCCAAAACCTGATCGTAGACGCCGTAAAAGTCCGCTCAGTACAAGTGTGGATGAGCAGTAGTTGGGCTGTCTGCCCTTGGTACCTGAGGTTTCTCTGCTTCTTCTTCCTTCCGCGTCTGCGTCCGCTCACGTCGGTGCCGCCGGCGGTAATAGTGGTTATCATCGGTCACATGTGAAAACATATGAATGTTTCCTGGGAAAGAAAGAAAAACTTAGCATGGGATATGGCAAACACTCCTTCCTTGCTTTTTCCAAGCTCCTTGCTCCCAGCTAGGTTCTCCGATGGCCGAGTATTGTCCCATTTTACTCAGCAGAAAAAGAAAACAGTAGGTAAACCAAGTGAACCAGGTGTAAATGGAATGTGCTTAGTTCTCCTGCTTTTATTTAAATAGTCCTTTGGAACTAGTGAGTGAGAGAACCCCAAAAGTCTAGTAAAGAAAGAGCATTTGGGCCATGAATCCTGTCTGACACGCTCTTTTCTGCTTCCTTGCCCAGTATCAGATTATGTCACTAGTGTCTTCCTTCCTCCCTTCCTTCCTTTCTTTCGTCCTTTCCTTCCTCCCTTCCTTTCCTTCTTACTTTCTTCCTTCCTTTCTCTCTTCCTTCCTTCCTTCTTTCCTCCCTTCCTTCCTTCTCTCTCTCTCTTTCTTTCTTTCCTCCACACCCAGCATGGAGTCCAACATGGCGCCTGAACTCAGAATCCTGAGATCAAGACCTGAGCTGAGATCAAGAGTTGAATGCCCAACTGACTAAGCCACCCAGGCATCCCAACACTAGTATCTTTAACAGCAATTCATAAAATTCAGTTTACTTCCTGGGCATTTAATTACCCCAACATCAGGGGCGCTTGGGTGGCTCAGTTGTTAAGTGTCTGCCTTCGGCTCAGGTCATGATCCCAGGGTCCCGGGATCAAGCCCCGCATCGGGCTCCCTGCTCTGTGAGAAGCCTGCTTCTCCCTCTCCCACTCCCCCTGCTTGTGTTCCCTCTCTCTCTGTCAAATAAATAAATAAAATCTAAAAAAAAAAAAATAATTACTCCAACATCGAACTCTCTGGAGGTAGTTTTCTAACTTTTATCTTTATATAGCTGCTACTTTGCAATAATGATAATAGGCATCTTACTACTTATTTATAAAGCACTTAAAAATATCTAATCCTCACAGCAGCCCTGTGAGGTAGATATTATCAGTCCCATTTCTCAGGTGAGGAAACAGGATCAGAGAGACCAAGTGATTTGGTTAAAATCATGCACAGTTGGAGGCTGGAGACTTGCCTCAAACCCCAGCTCATGTGATTCCAAATACTTTCTTTTTTTTAAGATTTTATTTATTTGATAGAGAGAGAGAGAGAGAGCAGAAGGAGAGGGAGCGGCAGTCAAGGGAGAGGGAGAAACAGGCTTCCCGCAGAGCAGGGAGCCTGATGCAGGGCTCAATCCCAGGACCCCGGGATCATGGCCCAAGTCAAAGGCAGACACTTAACTGATTGAGCCACCCAGGCGCCCTGATTCCAAATTCTTCCTCTTTCTACCATACCATGGTCCCTCTATTCAGATCCTCAAAGAGGAGCTAGCTGAGATACAGAAATATATATATGTATATATATATACATATATATGTGTGTGTGTATATATATATTTTTTTTTTCAGCTATAATTTTGAAATACTCACCTGTAGGAAAATGTCCTCCAAAGAAGACATTGAATAGCTCTTCTGGAGTGATGTCAGCTTCGAAGTCCCTGTAATAATTATAAGGTCTGCCTCGAGGGGCAGTGAAAGTCACTGGTTCATCTCCATATTCATCATAGCGGAGTCGCTTGTCAG